CGTGGTTTACTATTTTTAAAATTTGCCCCCCCCCCCCCCCATAATTTTTTTTGCTGCATGGTTCTTATGGTGAACGGACGTGATTTTTAAATAAGTAAAAAAAAAAAAAAAAAAAAAAAAAAATTATAATAAAATGCAAAGATGGCTCCAAGAGAAATTAATGAGATATTTTCAATTTTGAGTTCGAATAATAATATATGTGTTTATTACTTAAATAATATCGTGCAAATATGCTCTCATCCAAAAGATGTTATTATTCAAGGATTTTTGCAACTTAAAGAAGCTGATATTTTTAATCTTAGAGTAACACTATTTACCGAAATTATAGAAAATTTTGATATGGATCAATTTTCTTCTATCAATATTACTCTTGACGCTGAAAATCCTGTAAGAAAAAACCTTAGAAAGCGTTATAAAATTGGAACATGTCTAGATGACATATATTTGATGTCGATATCACTAACAGAAAAACAGCTTCACAAAGATTTTAATAAATTGGTATCTAATTGCGAACAAAATAGTCAACAATTACATGATGTAAGTCTGTTGTCGACCTTAAAAGAACTCGTCGATTGCGTTAAAACAATAAAATTAGAAAACAAGAAAATTAGAGACGACCTACATTTATTATAAGGAAAATATGATGAATTGCAGCAAACGTGCAAAAAAATTGAAAAAAATCAAAACACGTTGCTTTCAAACAGCTGCAGTAATTTATTATTTCAAAAACCGCTAAATACTAAAAAATCTTTTGTCTCTGATTCAATAGAAAATCATTCCTCAAATAATGAAAATACTTTAAATAATATATCTTTATATTTCCTTCATGATGAGACTACCATTATGGAGTTTAAAAACATACGAAAACGGAAACCAAAATAGAGTCACCTATGCTAAAAAGGTTCAAATGCAGCCACCAATTATTGAAAAAAGAGAGGACTGGAAAAAAAAAAAGATTGTTCCTTTATGGTAGTCAAAAAAACAATGCAACAAATAAAGTCCCAACAGAAAGGTCTATAATGAAGTCTTTTTTCGGAAAAAAAGTTGCATTTAACAGAAATTCTATTGCAGGCGGACGTACGGTGCGAGAATCTTATATCTTTGTAGGAGGGGTCTGTAACTCAATGTCGGAAGAAGATCTATCTAACCACATCAAAAATGAAATAGGTATTGAGCCTATTAAGGTAGAGCTTAACCGGGAAAATAAATACAATCGTTCATTTAAAGTTATCATAAAAAGTAATGAAAAAGACATAATCCTAAACCCTGATATTTGGGATACTAATATTATCGTTAAACCATTCAGGCTTCATCGTGTTACCTCAGGAAACGAAACACCACAGCAGAGTGCAGTTAATACGCTACACTCTGTACAACCAACTCAACAAATATTCTCTACATCTAAAGAACAACCATCCTTTGCACAGCTACATTCTTACTCAACTCGAATACTAAATTCTAATTCAAAATGGAAGGAAACATAGAAAGTAAAACCTTTGAAAATATTTCTTTTGGTGCATATAACTGCCAAAGTTTTAAATCGAACTCAATTTATATTTCCGAACTGGTCAAATCATTTGATATTATTTTTCTATCGGAACATTGAATTTTGAATATTGAACTTTTTGTGCTAAAAAACATAGCATTGGCGACACATAAAGTATTTTTTCATGCGTCAGAAAAAAAAGCATTTAGAAGACCATTTGGAGGAAACGCATTCATTATTAAAAAAGATGTTTTACTGTCTCCTCACATATTTTATGAAGATGACAATATTCTCGCTATTAAAGGTAAAAATAAATGTCACAATCTAGTCTTTATTGGTATTTATCTCACACCATGTCGAAATAACGAGGAATCCCTTTCAAAGTACGAACAACAATAAACCTAATCACTTCAATCATAAAAAACTACGAAGATGTAAGTGAATGTATTATTGCTGGAGATTTTCAGTCTTATCCCGAAACACTTTACGATTCTGAGATCCGTAATAATAAAAAACGCAATAAATTCTCTAATCATCTAACTAATTTCATTAAACCAAATAAGCACTCATTTATCGATATAATCAGTGGCGCTGGTCCAACATACACCTATCAGCATAAAACTCTATCTAACTCATCGTATATCGATCACATCGCAGCTCTAAAAGAGTTATCCTTATCTTTTATAAATACAAGCGTTATTCCACCTTCTCCTTTTAATTTTAGTGATCACTTACCAATCGCTACAAATATCGTCGTTACACATACTAATCTATCAACCGTAATAAATAGCATAATGCATAAATATAATTATATTCCAAAATATGCATGGAATAACGAAATATTCATTAACATATATAATCATAACCTCTCCGTAGCTTTCAACTACTACACCTTCAATGAAGAAGAAATTGAACAAGAATTAAAACAAACACGCAAAAAAATCCAAAATGCTGCTTTGTTAGCAGTTAAGCAGTGCTTTAAACAACAAATCTGTAAGTATTCCAAATCATGGTGGACAACGGACCTTAAAAAATGCAAAGAAAATCTTTCGTTTAACTATAAACAATGGCAAAAATCTAATTATAATAAAACACAAGAATGCATTGAATACAAAAGAATACATCTTTTCACGCAAAAACTTCCGTAAAGCAGTTAAAGCAGCTCATAACAAAAAAATCCACGAAAAAACTATAAATATTTAAAATCTTCGAACCACTAATCCTCAGAGGTTCTGGGATAACATCCGTAAAATCAAAACTAAAGCAACAACTCGATTATTTACAATTAACAAATCGCAAAATATAAAAGATATCGTTCAAGAATTTAGACAACATTTTCAAACTCTTCTCAATACGCCTCTTATTTCAAATAATAACCATAATCTTTCTCAAATTCCACCTCTAAGTAAAGAGCCTAATTTACTAATCATAACATCAGCAGATATTATGAATTGCATATCACAATTAAATAGTAATAAGTCCCCAGATAGCTGTGGGTTAGGTGCTGAACACCTTAAAAACTCTCATAATAATAATCTTCTTTTGTGGCTCGCTAAATTTTATAACCATATTCTATCGAATGGAAAAGTACCAAATGATCTATCAACTTCAACAATTATTTCACTTGTTAAGTCATATAAAAAATCTCTTAATAATCTAGATAATTATCGAGGAATTAGTATTTTACCTATCTTTACTAAACTTCTAGAGTATCTAATACTACGAATATGTCCTTGTATAACAGATAGCCATTCCCATCAATTTGGTTTTAAAAAAAACAGTTCTACACTTCACGCAGAATTTTTACTGAGCGAAACTGTTAAGCACTATAAAAACAATAACACGCCTTTATATATGTGCAGTTTAGATGCTAATAAAGCTTTTGATACTTGCAACTGGGATTTGCTATTTGAGAAGCTGTATTTTCAAAAAAATCTTCCGTTGTCTGTAGTACACACAATATCATCCCTTTATCACTCTGGTTCTGCAAACATATCCTATCAAGGTGTTACCTCAAATCAATTCAGTCTATCACAAGGGGTGCGACAAGGGTCTATTCTATCCCCGCATTTATATAACATTTATACTGAAAGCATCCTAAATGAAATTGTCTCAGAATGTAAAGTAGGATCGACAATAAATGGAATTTATACTGGTGTAATTGCATACGCAGATGATGTAATTTTGCTAAGCCCCACAATCTCTGGTCTGCAGGAACTGATTAACAGATTTCAAACATATGGAGTAGCAAACTTCATCAAGCTAAACACTGAGAAAACAGAATTTCTGATTTCTGGAAAAAGTTATATTCCTAACAACGTTGTTAAAATCAATGGAGCTCCTATATATCTTCAAAATAAATTAAAACATCTGGGTTTTCAATGGGATAACAATACCAGCAAAAATAAAATTGCAACACTCCGAAAGAAAAATTTAAATGAGCGTATAACTCAGTTTCAATCAGTTGCAAAAGCTTTAATTGACAGTGGGATTCGTTACTGCCAGCCATCAACAATTGTTCATCTGTATAATACATTAACAGTGCCGAAGCTTATATATAGTCTTGAACTATGTAAATATGATACTAATTTTCTCAGCAAAATAGACGCTGTTGGAAGAGCAGTCTTAAAATCATTTTTTTGTATTTCGAAGTACAGTAAAAATTACCTTCATTCTTTTTTTAAAATAGAAGATATCTCAACTATTTAGGAACAAAGTTAATCTTTTTATCAGGCTGCTGAAAAATCAAACTTTTTACTCACTGATAGTTAATCAAATACAGGAAACACAGAATAAAAAATCCTTTACAAACGAAGTATTTGATGCATGCAACACACTTGATTTAAATTTCATACAGTGCATGTTAAATGGCAAAAAAATTAAATTGACGCAACCCATCGTAGAGCTACAAACTAATGTTATGCTAATATTGAAAGAAACGTTCCAGTTTTGGAATTTGAAAGAAAATAGAGTAGTTTAAAATCTTGATGGAGGTGAATGTTTCTAGAACTCTGTCCCAATAATATGTGGAAAACAAACCGGCTGTTTATAAGCATTTATTGCTAACAACTACAAGAGCCGTGAAGTTTTAGCTGATTTTTAATTTATTGTTTGACTATATAAATATCATTTTACCTGTAATTTAATACCGGGTGATAAAGAAAAAATACAATATAATAATAATAATGGCAGAATTTTGCTTCAAAAAATACGCGGAAGTTTGGGGAATGCAAAAAGCGAACTTGAGTCAAGCTCGGATTGAACTTTACATTGCAACCAATAGCGACAGAGTATGGGTTTTCCCCTCAAAAAATACTCTGCTGCTATTGGTTACAAAGTTAAGTTAAAGTAAAGTTTGCTTCTTGCATTCTACTCCTAGTTATTTTTAATATATCATTGATTCTAATACTTAATTTAATACTTCTTTTGTTTAAAAAATAACTCTCGCAAGCGATTTATTTTTTAAACAAAATAATTGATCTGCAGGGTTAAAGGCCAGTCCTATCCTAAAAAAAAACACGCGGATAAGATGGACCAGAGACTCTTTTATGCATTATATGTGGTAATGGCGTAATAAAACGTTTTTTGGTGGTAATTTACCACCAAAAAATGTTTTATAACGCCTTTTTTCATTTTCGTCAAATGTCCAGTTTTGAAGAATTTCTGTCCCACTTTGCGTCGTTTAACTTTCATTTTTAAATAAGTTTTTATTAAGAATATTTGTCTGCCTTATGTAAAAAAATAAAGATGAATTCTGTTAAATAAAAAAGCCAAAACAAAAATTCCTCCCAAAAACAATTTCTTATTGTTTAATCGATAAGAAATTATTTTTGGCAGACAGTCTCAGATTGTCTTCCATAATTATTAATCAAGTAATTTTTTTAATTTTGTTTGTTAATTCAAACAGATTGAATCCGTTTGAATCAGCAAATTAACATACATATAACTTTAAAATTTAGGAGGCAATTTTTATCAACTAGGTAAAAGTTAACTAAATATAAAGGTTTTTTTTTTTTTAATTTTTTATTTTTACAATAAGTATTTAAAAAAATTACAAATCTATTTTGAAAATACATTTTTGCTAACTTTTTAGTTTTGATTATCTCCAGTACAGTTTAGTCATTTTAAAGACACAAAATATTGTGGCGGAGGTAAATTGTTTAAGTTGGTCTAAGAAACAAGGGAATTTTATCATAGTTGGAAAAAGTCTGAAAATAGAGGACAGGGTTTTAATAATGTGTATTAAAGTTAAACCAACTATTTAGAGCTCAGTTAAACTAGGCTGCTAGTCTTTTTGGTATTTTGGAAGTACCAAAATATCAAAAGGAAGCAGAGGTGCACTAAAATGGGGTATTATATTAATATTAAAAAATAAAATTGTTGGACCAAATAATGTAAAATTTTGGAAAGAATCATTGTTAGCAATATAAGTAGCAATTATTTATCAAAAACATGTAGTTTGGTTTTAGGTTAGATAAAGAAACAACTGATGTATTTTGGATAAGTTCAAAGTTCTGTGGATAACATTTGTGGGCTTTGAGAATTATAAGAGTACCAAGAGAGGTGAATGGTGGGTTTTGAGGTATTTAAGTGTTAAAATGAATTAGAATAGGATACCAGGGTAATAGTAATGTGTGTCTGGATTATATTTAGAGAATTATTAAAAGTTAAAAGAAAGTTGTACATCACATGCATCATAACAGAGTGTTATGGGTGTCAAACTATACATCATAAAGAGTGTTATGATGTATGGTGTGAAGCACCGGCAATGACTGTTGATGATGTATAGCAACTGGATTAGATGGATATGTCGCCTGACTCTAAAAGATAAGAAAAAAATTGAGGTACAGAGATTAGAAATTGTGACTGTGATCTTATGGTGCATCAGGAAAGATTAGGGTGGTTTGGCATGTAGAGCTTTTATATGAATATGATTGGATATCAGTATGTAGGAGAAAAAGGTTGAAGAACATGTAGAGATAGTGTTATAAATAACATGAAAAAACTTCAGTTAAAAAAAAAAACACACTCAAGAATAAGATGATAATGATAATGATGATGATGATGATAATGATGATCATGATGATCATGATGATCATGATGGCTCAACAAAAGAATTAAAAACAAAAAAGAAACCGTGTTGTGTAATGTACGCAAAACAAACTTTTTAATAAAGACTAAAGAAGGCAATAAAAATATATACAGTTCTCTTTATAAAGAAAAAGTTTACTTGAAAAATATGTTTTTGAGGCGATATATTATGTGATGTATTATGTGATGATGAATTGATATTGATGATGATGATGATGATGATGATAATGATGATGATGATGATGATGATGATGATGATGATGATGATGATGATGATGATGATGATGATGATGATGACGATGATGATGATATCTATACACATAGATATATTTTCAATTTTTTTTTTAACTTTTTTATTTTATTGTGCGTCATAATATATAAATATATAATAAAAAAATAGACTATTTTATATATATTTATTTAATACAGATGGCTCTTCCGACACTTAGTCCCATACAGTTTATGAGTACTAAAGAGCCATTGATCATCAGTCATAATGAAAATGATGGTAATTTTTTATAAAGATTCTTTTCTTTAGTAAATATATCTCAAATATGCTTGTATAACTATTGCCTAAAATAAAATTTTTAAACATAATAGATCTTGAAGTCTCTGTTAAGTTAGAACAATCTTTAAGAAGATCATCTTCATCTGGAAAACACAATACCAATGAATGTGGAACAACGTGAGTTTTTATAATTTTTTTTTTTATACATGATATTGTATTTTCTAATAACTTCATAAATACTTTTTGTGTAAAATACTTTTTGTGTAAAATATATTAATAGATTGCTGAATTAATTTTTATATTAAGGCGTGTCTGGTAATGGAAATTAAAAAACAGGAGTTTTGAATTTATGTGTCTAAAATTAAAAAAAACTATTGATTAACAAAATTCTTAAGAGAAATTAAACAATATAAGTCAGAAGCAAAATAAAAATTTTATTTGAAGAAATAGATATTAGGGAGATTAAAGATATTAGGTAGATGTTAAATTAAAGATGTTTCAAGCATAAGTCTATTAAGACTCAACAAGAAAGTATTTAATTAAAAGCAGAGATAATTTATATAATTATTGTTATTGTTTTAAATAAACTTTTTTACACCTGAAAAGGGTCACGATTCTTTCATTTGATCATTTCATGATCATTTGATCTAAGGGTCATTTGGGATCGATTTTAAGCTGAAGAATTATAAATGTTTATACTATTACTAATTTTTGTTTATCATTCTTTTAATTTGTGAGAGTTTTTTTAAAAAAAAAAAAAATTATTTACTACTTTTTTTTTGTTTTAAATAAAAAAAATAATTTTATCTTCAAATGCAGTGTATAATCAATTTTCTTCTTTTTTTTACTTTTAATTTTTAACCAAGTATGTTTTTTTTTTTTTTTTTTTTTTTTTTGTAACTATTTTAACTTTTAACTTTTTTTTTAACTAATTCACTCCTAGTATCATTTAAGTAGTAAAAAAAAAAAGTTGAGTTAAAGAGTAAAAAAAAAAGTTAAGAGCAAGAAGTTGATAGAAGACTTGAAAAGCTGTAGATTGTATGGTTTAAGAAAATATGAAGCCTGAAGAGAATTCCAAAGCATTGACGTGCAAGGAAAAAAGCTCAATAAATAAAAAATTTTAACGCACTAATGCTGAATAACAAGTAACATGTGATTGATTTTTAGTTAAAAGAAAAATAGACAGATATAATAATGGTGTTTGTAGAAAAGAGGAAGAGATGTAAGCAAATAACTATGGGGATCAAGCTTGAAAGCTAGTGCAGGTTCAACTTTATTTATAATATCTTTCAGACACTGGCTAAAAGAGAATATCAATTGTGACAACAATTTTATACAGGGACGAATAAACGATTTATAGAGGTATAGAATTGATTTGGCAAGCAAAAAAAAATTTTGTCAATACTGGAGTATATAGTTGTGTCATCAGTAAATAGGTTTTTCAGATGTAAGATTGTCATGAAGATAATTAATATAGATGAGAACAATACATGACTAAGGTTTTTTTTTTTTTTAAATTCTTTGCTTTCAACAAGGCTGCAAGCAACCACTATTTAGTGTTGGAAGTTACTGGAAGAGAAAAGATGAAGATTGTAGAGCAAGATAACGATTGACAGACGACTTAAAAGATTGAAAATTATATAAATCAGGAAAGCAAGATGAAGGAAGTGAATTCCAAAGAACTGATGTTCAAGGATAAAAACTAGACAAATAAGAGTTTTTGGAGCATTTAGGAACAGTAACAGAAAAAGGATGAGACTTGATGGAATGAGAAGTAACACGAGAGTGAATTTTAGTAGATGGCACAAGAGATGCTAGCTCTTTAGAGCAGTGCCAATTGTAGTATTTGTAGAAAAGAGAAAGAGATGCAACATTATGACAATGTGATAATGGTTGAAGGTTGGCTGCAAGAGCAGGTCCAACTATGTTTACAATGTCTTTTTGCAACTTGTCTAAAAAAGAAAGGGCATCATTAGAAGATCCGCCCCAAATATGGCAACAGAATTCCATAAAAAGCCAGATTTGAGATTTATTGAGATAGAGAATAGAATCCAGAGTAAGAAAGTAATGAGCTCGATAAACATTACCATTCATAAATATAGGAAGGTCTGAATTATTGCGATAACAATTGGCTGAAAAAAATTGAAGTTTGCTGAATTAAAGTTCATCAGCTACTGTGAGCCCCATGCTGTAAGATCCTTTTCAAGCTCAAATGCTCTCTCCAAGCAATCAAAGAGAGTTGGCTTCTTATCATGACAAGAATAAATGGTAGTATCATCAGCAAACAATGCCCCCTTAGATGTGAGAATATCTGGAAGATCGTTAATGTAAATTAAAAAGAGTATAGGGCCAAGGATTGAACCTTGAGAAACCCCTGAGGTTACAGAATAAGAAGAAGAGTGCTGTCCATCAAGGACAACTTTTATACTACGATTGGAAAGGAAGGATTCAATAATCTTAAAGATGTTTCCAGATACACTGTAAGAAGAAAGTTTATGGAGAAGACTAGCATGCAAAACTTTATCAAACGCTTTAGAAATGTCAAGAGTAATGGCCTTAACCTCTCCACCTTTATCTAATGCACGATAAAACCTATCTGTTATTACTGTTAGTAAATCAGCTGTAGAATGAGAAGATCGAAATCCATATTGATTGTCAGAAAGTAAGTTATTAGATTCAAGATAAGATGAGCACTGACTAGGATGAGAAACAAGACATAAGTCGAGTAGAGAAGGTATATGATTTTGGTTGTCTGGAAAGTGATTTGGAAAGTGATCAAAGTTGACTATTTGAGTTAGGGATTGAGAAAGACAAAAGTTGTGGGCTTTAATGCCTGCCTACTAGGGTTCAAACTTAGTTTCCCGACAAATAGGTGAGTTCTTACAAATGTAAATGCCCAGGCCAAGTATGTGACTATTGGAGTCTTTACGAATTAAAGGAAGATAACCATCAACACTAAGATCATAAGATTAGACAGCTGAACTCAAATTAATCTCACAAAGAGCAAGTAGGTCTGGTGAACTTTGCAAGAGATAAAACTCAACAGGAGAAAAGTTACTTTGAAGACCATGAAGATTAGTGAGTGTTTAGAGAACTTGGTGATGAAGATGGTTTTTTGTGTTTTATAGTTTTTGGTACTTTAGTCATTTTTAAATTTGTTAAAGAACTTGACTCAAAGCATAGATAGAACTCAGTACACTATTTAATAGTCCAAGCAACTGCCTCAATACTATTAATAAACCTTAAGATGTAACAAAGGGCTCCAAATGTGGTCTCAACAGTGCACACCAAAATTACGAGCAGGAACACCATTCATGCGCAATATGGCACTGTTACTACTTTGATATTTTTCAGCTGTTGATGGAATCAGCCTCTTTGAGAGTTTACACAAGAAACCTGACTACCAGCCGGCCTCAGAACCATAAAACTGAGTTTTAGAGCTGTACCCTCATTAGGAGATAATAGAATGAGTTGCCTAGTCATAAAAACAGAGACACAAGCAAAACCCATGCATCAAGAAGATCCAGCATTCAATATCCTAAACTAGAAACAATGTATTAAAAAAACATCTGCGCCAGCTTAGTAGATGAAGAAGGGGTGCAAGGCTGGTCAACAGATAGAATCTGTTTACCCCTTAAGTCTTTGCCTAGGAGGCCTTCTACAAGACAGCAGCCAGATGCATTTAACATCTGCCCAAGATGAGTATTTTTATCAAGACACCATCTTTACTCAACTAAGAGCCCCAAGGCCGGGGGTGTTTTATGTTGGAGTTGGAACCTCCTAGCCTTTGCTTAAAAAGGTGTATCCTACAACTCTTTTAATATTTAAAGAAAATTCTCTTTTTTATAATATTTTCAAAACCTTTTTGCTACCCGTAATAGTGAATCTAAAGAAAATCACTTTGGAGTCTTTAGATCAATTCTGCTCATCGGCATTAACATGAATTTAATTGAAATCTTTTGAAAAAATTCCTTAGTTTACTACTGATCCTAGTTCTAATCAGTTCTGACGTATATTAACTATATATAGTAGTCAAAACACAATATTTCTATCAATTTTCATAATAAATACTAGAATTCCGACCAAGAAAGAGCTTATAATTAAGAAAAATTGCCAATAAATGATCAGAACAGATCATATTCTTAAACTATCATGTTCATTTCACCTAAAAATGTATTAATTTAAAATCATATTCAAATTTGGGCAAACGATTGTGATTTTATAATGATTTTTTTAATAAAAAAAAGAATTTTCGGTTGGGTATTTTTTGCTACAAACATTTATATTTTATGATACCGCAAAATTTATCATTTTAATATTTTTGGTTTTTTCATAATTCACAGACCTAATCATTTAACGGAAATATGTCTTAGTCAACAAAATATCATGCAGACGCTATAATATTTTAAAAGTGTCTTAACTACACTGAGAAGGCAGCAGGACATGAAGCAGATTGTACTGGGTTACATGTTACCAGTAGCAGGATAAACCTGACCTGACATTTAAGCTTCTTATATGCCAAGAGCAGTAGCCTTTGTTTTGCTACCTCCGTCTAATGCATGATAAAACTTAACACACTAAACAAAAAGTTATAGTTAGCAAGCTGATAGAGTGAAGATGAGATAATCGGAGTTTGTTGATTAAAGATTCAAAGACTTTGTTGATGCAGAAAAACTGATTGGACAGTTAGAGTCAAAGTGTTTTCCAGAGTTTTTTAAGATTAGAACCACAGGTGCAGGAAAAAAAAAAAAAAGTACTTTTTAAATATCTTAGAGAGTATTAAAGAGAGTTCTGGAGAATACAAAATGAAAGAACGAAAGCACATAAAAGAATAGTCAGATAATTCAAACCTGATTTTGTAACAAATAATTTGATACATTCTGTATGCCCAGGTCAAACATATAACTATTGAAATCTTTACAATTAAAAAAATAATATCTATCTGCTTTGAGATTTGAAGATGAAACAGCTGAGCAAGTTTTGCAAAAAGCAAGTAGGTCTAGTGAATTTTGCAATAAGTAGGATTCAACAGCTAAAAAGTTACTTTAAAGGCATGTTTATAAAGGATTGATTTAAACAGTTAGGTAGTGAAAATAGTTTTTTATGTTTAATATTTTAAGATAAGCCATATTTTAGGATGAGAGCTACCAGGAAACCTTGCTGTCAGTAGGCCTTCGAACTATTAAACTTTGTTTTAGAGAATTAGGAAATAACAAAAAGAGTTGCATAGCTATTAAAAAGAGGCGCATGCAAAAGACCATGAGTAGAATAAAAAAGATTTATTAGACTGGTGTATATGCAATCTCCTTCATCTATTAGACTGTTGTAGATGTAAAAACAGGTTTACATTTGTACCAGTCTAATAAATGAAAGCTATGTTGTAACTATGTTATAGCCTAAAAGGTCCAATTAAACAATATATATATTGCAAAAAAAATTTATAAAGTATTTAGTGTATGCATTTATTACTAGAAAACATTTAATTTAAAAACAACATGCATTAACATAAAAGAGCCACAGGATATATTAAAAAAACATAGTTTAATACTTTGTCTGGGCTTTACTAACTTTTTAAACAACCTTTATTCTTCACAACATTAATCCAACCAGTACTCACAATATACAAGCATTCTTTTATGACACCATGCTTTCTTTATGGTTTTTCCCAGATCTATTAGCATAGATGGGTTTTATTTAGAAACTTTTGCTTTCAATTTTATGCAACAGTTTTTGTTGGGTAAAATTGGCATTGTCTGGCTTTCCTGGCCAGGGGACAAGAACATGAGTGTCAATTTCTTAGAGCTATGTCTTGACAATTTTTACTTGATGGCAAGTTGCTGCATTGTGCATGGAAGTATCAATTAAATTTAAAAAAATATATTTTATTTGAAAACACATTTTTTTTCAAATCTTAAATAGTTTCTAAAATGACAGTTTTACCTTGATGTAAAAGATGTAAACCAGCACATATGTTGGAAGTGGTTCCACCCATATCATTATTGATAGACATTGCTTAACATAAGCTGCAACATACCAGTAATTGAAGCATGAATTTAGTGGAAGGAAAACATTGACTTTGTATGCTGTAAACTGAATAAAGTGTGCTTTGTCTGAGAACATGACACATTACCATACTTACCATGCTAATAGTCCAAATCTAGTTTTTTTTTCTTAAAATATGAGGTTCTAGATTATTTTTTTTGGGTAAAGCATTACATCTTCAAATTGTGCAGATGCTAACATTTACATTAGGAGACATTTCAACAAGATTTTTTTTCGAAGTGGTAATTTTTGGTCTTCCAGAGGAACTTCTTAAATTAATACCATCTGTTGACTTTTGGGCTGAATGATATCGTGAACAGTTGTCTTAGACATCTTTAAACATGCAGCAATCATTTCTTCCAACTTGCTATCTTCCATTAAAATCTGTGCTTGTAGCAAATCAAGAAGTGATTTTTTTAGCCATAGTTAAAATATGGCTAAAAAAATAGTCTGGTTTGTCATTGGACAGTTCATACAATATTTAAATTAATTTTTACATTTTACTTAGAGTTACATGACACATCTGGGCATTGTGTAATATGTTGTCAAATATTGAACATCCTTGATTTTTGGTATGGTTAGATCTACCTTAATGATTTGTTCCAAGGGTTGACTAACTAAAAATCAAATGTGGGGCAATTATTCCTTCAAACTTGCAATCTTCCATTAAAAGTTGTACTTTTAATAGAAGATAGCAAGTCAAGAAGTTTTTTTTTTTTTTATCCATATTTTAAAGCTAGACAAGACTAGGAATTTCCTGGATTATAACTAATATAAATAATGTAATTGAAGCTAAACTAAATGAATAGTTATGAGAAAAATTTTAAAACTTACTTATTAAATGACCTTTGTTCATTTATTGATTTCTTGATTTGTTTTTTAATGTTTCATTGAAGCCTATTTATTTTCTGTGCAAATGATTTCTATTTTCTGGCAGATAATTTTCCAACAGCTAAATTAAAATTTAGCTGTTGGAAAGATGGAATGGAAGCAATAGAGCACAGATTAATATTAATAAGATAAACGTTATGCATTTTAAAATTGAGAACGTTTAAAAGTTGAGTAATTAGGAAATACTAGAAAGTGGCCAAGAAAAGGAATTAGAGTAGTTATATGTGAGTTTGATGCAAGAATGAGTAGTTATTAAGTTTGATGCAAGAATGAGTATATATTATAGAAAATAAAAAGAATGAGTATTAATTATAGAAAATAAAAAGAATGAGTATTTATTATAGAAAAATTATTTAGCAAAAAACAACTATTTATGGGGCATTGTTCACCTTTCACCTTTTAAAAAATCTTTCCTTTTTTTTTAATTATTTAAAAAATGTTAATTATATAATTATTAAAAAAAATAGTTGAAACATAAAATTAAAAAATGTGTTGTTTTATTTAATTTAAGGATAAATTTATGTTGTTACAAATAGCCAATAATTTATTATCGCAATTCTTTTACATATAGGAACTTGCAGACGATGGTTCATATTTTTAAAGGAAATGTTGGCACAGGAATTTTAAGTTTACCGGCTGCCATCAAGCAAGCTGGTATTATTGTGGGTCCACTGGGACTTATTTTATTTGCAATAATAACTGTTCATTGTATGCATTTGTTAGTGCGCTGTTCGCATCATTTCTGCAAAAAGTAAGTTTTTTTTAAGGCAACAATAATCTAATACTTTGAAATCTAGGTTTACATATTTTTAATAAATTTTTTCTGATAGAGTTGGGGTGGTTTTGGTTTTGTTACTTGTGGCCTCGGCTTTGTTATCAATGCTGACAATTTTTGGTTAAGTTCATATTAAGGTTTTAACTTATGTTTTAGAATTAATATTCAAGTTCTTTATTTTACAGACTTAATATTCAAGCTCTTTCTTATGGTGAAGTGGCAGAGGAATGTTGCAGACCGTATTTTAGAAATAAATGCAGAATAGCTAAGTAATCACTCGTAAATATACTAAATTTTTAAATCTATATCTAAAATCTATATTAAATATAAAAGTTACATGTTTTGGTCAAATAAAATGATAAATAAAAAAGTATAAATTTGTTCTTACCTGACTCTCATAATAAAAGGAAGCATTAATTATTATTTGTAGCAAAGCTTTTAATAAACTATTTTTTTTTTATTTGTTACAATTTTTTTGTTATGGTTATCAAAGTTAACATTTGTGCTATCTTAAAATTCATTTTTTCAGTTAATACCTGACTGGTTTATATTTAATAAACATCTTAACATCTGTTACTAATTTAGGTTTGTGAAAATAGGCTAAAGTAGACCAAAATACATATTTATTATTTACTGTAATGTTTCTGAATAAAATTGATCCAACCGTTTGATTACACGTTGATGTACACCTTTTGATTGATATTCCATTTGGTTGATTTTTAACTTTACTGTTACATTTAGTTGAAATAGCAAAACAAAAACTTTTGGTTTATATTTTAATTTTTTGTAATACAATATAATAAATATAACAAATCTTTTGGTGTCAAAAAGTTTCAGTGATCATTTAAATAACAGCTGTCATTACCAGTTAAGAATAAATTTCTGAACAAATTTTTTTAAAGGAAGATTTTATATATAATGGCTTATAGTATATAGATTTTATATATAATGGCTTTAGTTTTAAAGTGTAAAAGAACACTTTTTAAAAGATGTAAATCGTATTTGAGAGACAAAGTAATATTATACAAAAACATTTTAATATTGAGTGTTATCTATAAAAGTTTACAAGTTTGTAGATTTAAAAAGAAAAATTTTAAAAAAGTTCAAAAAACTTTTCTTTATCTCAGAAAAAAATGCATTTGCTATTTACGATGTTTAGTGATCATGATTTTATCTTGGTATTTATTGCTTGCTTGGTCTTTGTTTTGAAATTTATTCTTATTTGTTGTAACTTATTCTTGGCATGTCTTACTGGCTTGTTTTTTTGTCTTGGATTTTATTCTTGTGTCTTAGTCTTAAAAAAATTTAAGTTGATGCAAGTAAAATTAAAAATTTCAGCTTTTGTTATGAACAATAAAGTTGGAATTTTAAATTTTTTTTTATTGTTACCTACATTTTTTAGCAAGCAATGACATTGTATTATGTTTTATGTAGCAAACAAATATGATTGAGACTTATTTGAAGCTTTATTTTATGGAAAACTTTATCTCTATGATCGGCCATGAAAAAACTATGACCAGCCATGAAAAAATCATGATCAGGTCATGAAAAAACTATGACCAGCCATGAAAAAATCATGATCAGGTCATGAAAAAACAATTACCAGCCATAAAAAAAACCTTTGAAAAATTAGCTCAGCCATACTTCATTTTGCTTCTGATGAGTTTATCTCTGATTTCTGGTTTCATTTTGGTTGCTTTTGGTTTTATTTTAATTGCTACCAAAACATATTTCAAAGATAAAAATCATTTCTTGTGGCAACTATGTATGTAACAGTAATAATTTCCCATGAAACTAATAAATAGTAGAAATAATCTTATAAAACTAAGAATCTTTTCTTATATGAAAGAATAGAGGTTGAACTAAATATAAAAAAAAAATCTTTTCTTATCTTTGTTGAGCCCAATATAAAAAAAGCTGACTTAAGCATCACAACATCATAACACTTTAATAACAAGTTCCGAATGAGTCATAACTAACCACAAACCCCTGCTCCTTAAAGGGTGATGTAGTTTATGGACAACCCCTGCTCCTTAAAGCGTGATGTAGGGACAACCCCTGCTCCTTAAAGCGTAATGTAGGGACAAACCCTGCTCCTTAAAGCGTGATGTATGAACGACCCCTATAGTTATTTATATTAAAGATCAAGTATTTATATTTATAAAAAATACTTATGGAAAATTTTATCAAGAAGCATAAGTAATACAAACAAAGAAAAGCAAACAGTAAACTAAGATATATCATGAAAAAAAAAAAAAAAATTTATATTTAACAATATTTCATCATTAAAATGTAACTAAAAAGGATGTAGATAATAAAATTAAAAAAAAAAACTTAAAGAAATATAATATGAAACAATGGAACAAATACAAATTAGTCTAGTTTTGTTTGTTTTTTATTGTTAATAGTTAAAAAATCAATAATTGCATTAATTCATCTATTGATCTTGCAAACAAAAACCTGGAACATGGTAAGGTTTGATATTAAGCGTGATTATATAATAACCTTTTAAATGTTATTTTCAAAGTGTTTTTTATTAAAGACAAAATTTATAAATTCATTTTACTTTACTTTATATTGCAAATTTATTAAAAAAGAAAAAGCATATATTTTATAAAAAATATTTCCACTTTATTGTCTTTGTTAAATATGCATGTTGTAATAAAAGTGTATTATGTTAAATTTCAATTGTGCAACCACTATTAGAGTTGAAAGTTACTGTAAGAGAAAAGATAAAGTTTATAAAGCGAGATAAGGATTAACAGATGACTTAAAAGATTGCAAATTATATGAATCAAGAAACAAGATGAAGGGAGCAAATTCTAAAAAATTGATGTTCAAGAAAAAAAAACTGATTTAGGAAAATCACAGTAAAAGGATGAGACTTAATTGAATGACCAGTAACACTAAAATGAGTTTTAGTAGGCACAATAGTAGGCACAAGAGATGCTAAATCTTCATAGCAGCACCCATTATAGTGTTTATAGAAAAGAGAAAGAGAAGCAACATTACAACGATGTGACAATATTTGAAAGTAGGCTGTAAGAACAGGTCTGACTATATTAATTATCCGTTTTTGCATCTTGTCTAAAAGAGAAAGGACATCATTTGAAGATCTGCTCCTCATATGGTAGTAGTATTCCATACAAGGTCAGATTACAATAGTTAGAGGTAGTAAGACGAATGAGATCGTAAAAAGTACTGTTTCTTAAGAATAAAAATAAGAGGTTCTTAAAAGCTAAAATTCACCCAACTGAATTGTGTCAAATACCCGACTAGCCGATTAAGTTCATCAAAAAACCAACTATAACTTAAAAATCGCCTTTTTTGAGGGGGTAAAACAACCCCATCCCTAACACACCCTCCCCCTAAAATTATCTTTGTATGCATTATATACGCATAAAAAATTTTTGTTTCTTTAAAATACTCTACAAAAATATACACAATAAGATTTATTAATCTAAGAAAGACTTTATTCTTTGTATTTCTTCATGAATATTTTACACTCGTAGTTGAGAGAAGTAAAAGCTAGAAATATGTTATACACAAGCTCAAAAGGCAAGCTAACGCAAAAAACATTACATTGTGGTAAAATAATAATTTGCTTTTTTGAATATAAATTATATAAGAAACATCGAAACCATTATTTTAAATATTTGCAAACATTATGTTATATAAAATTATATAATAAAAGTTACTTACAAACATTACAAATACAATAAACTCTTATAATAAACACTGTAAAGTAAAAACTAATTATACTAAGTAATTATGCACATGAATAAAATGGTATTTGTTTTTATATGTTTATTTGGGTTTTAAATGTCGATAATAAGAAAATATCACTTGTATACATAATATTTAAATATGGATAAATAACCTTATTATAAAATGTAATTTTAACTTAGATTTACATGTATGTCTAAACTTAAATACAAACTTGTATATATTTATATATTATTATTATATATGTTATTTAATTTATATTATAGCTTATATATTTAAATTTAATTGATATTTAAACTTTTACATACTAGTTATACTTACATATATAAGTTTAAAAAGTACAAAATGTACAAAAGTGTACAAAAAATTTAAAAAAATAAAGACCCACAAGCAAAAAATGCATATTTTTAGCCATATTTTTATAGTCAATTTAAGAATCACGCTTTTTTTTTCATAAAACAATAAAACACTCAAGTTGTTTTACTTTTACTTACATTACTTTTGTGAAACAACAAAAGTAGAGTTAGAGAAAACTTTGAGATAGTAAACAAAAAACTATATAATAGTTATAGGAAAAATTTTTTAGAAAAAATTGTCTTTAAAAATTGCCTTTGATATATAAGGAATGGGAATGAAAGTGTCATCATTTAGAAATATTAACATAAGTTTTTTACTAATAAAAATAAACACTTTAAAAACACTTTTTTCAAATAAAAATTATAATTAAAATTTCAATTATAAATTAGTAAAAGCTTTTGTAAGTGTTGAATCATTAAGGCATAAGCGACACTTAATGATAAATATATTTTAGCAAAAACTTTCGATAATAAGAAAATATCACTCGTCTACATAATATTTAAATTTGAATAAATTATTTTATTATAAAATGTATTTTTAACTTAGTTTTACATATATCTAGTTTTAAATATTGTATATAATTATTATATATGTTAATTAAATTATAATATTACCTATATATGGAAATTTAATTGATGTTTAAACGTTTACATACTAGTTATACTTACATATTTAAATTTAATACTTAAGTGATTTCAAATCCAGAAATAAGCATTGCAGCAACAGCATCTATAAAAGAACATTTCTTAGATTTTGTGCCTTTAAAGGAGACAACTGGTGCTGGTACGGCTGAAACAATTATTAAGCAATTAGGCGAGTTGTTTTTATCTATTGAAAACTTAAGCGATCAAGGATATGACAAAGTAGAAAAAGCAGCAAAAGTTTATTTTATATACAGAACATTAAATAATTGTGTATTGGTTGATGAATGAATTAATTAGTAAAATAGCTAATACTTTTTTTTAATTAAAAAGGTGACTAAACATGTTTTTTTTTAAAAAAAGGATTTTAAATCAAAAAAAACATTGTTTTTTTGTTTTTTTGTTTTTTTTTTAAATTATGCAAAAAAATAAAAAAAATAAAGCATTATTTATTTAAACATCAACTTGAAAACTTTTTGAATGAAAAAATTAGTTACATTTTTAATAGTACTAATATTTTTATACTAAACTGATAGAACTTAATAGTTTTAATAGTTTTTAATAGTTATAATAATGGCATTTTTATACTAAACTGATAGAACTTTATATACTAATAATCGATTAAAACCTGATAATTGATAAAAAGTGGAGTTACATCGTTTTTGCATCCATGTCTTTAATTTTTTAATATATTTAATACATGATTGTGTTATCTATAACTTTTAAGCAATATTTTCAGACAAATAATGCAACATAAAAAAGAGTGAAATTATAAATACAAATAGAAATCATATACACAAAGAAAAAAGTAAATTTAAATGACTTTTCTTTATAATTTTTTTATCATATAACTGTATGAGAAAATGCCATGTGATTAAGCAGGTAATATGACAAAAAAACATGCTGAATTTAGCTTTCAAATAGAATAAATAAATCAGTACCATTAGATTGTTTATTTAGTTGCTATGGATACCTATATTCCATAGCAACAGTGTATTTTGCATAGTTACCTAAGTTAAGAAACTTTCTTAAAATGTCAAATTTATAAACTAAACTGGTATTATTGCTACGATGCTATTTTATGTGTTTAAATGATGACACACACAAAAATTAGTAATTTTTGGTGTTGCTATGCCGTTTTGGGCTCTTAGAAATTTGCTTAATTCAAAATTTCTTTAATTCAAAAATGAATTTAAAACTTTGAAAACAATCTTACCTCTAAGGGTTTATAGACACAGTTAATAAAATTTGAATCAATTGTATCTATGTCCTTAGTAACCAAATAAAAATCAACAAGTGTTAATACAGTTAGAGCTATTGAATACTTTATAAAGTATATGTAAGAGTACAAGCAAATTTGTATATTCAAAAAAATTTTATTTACATAACATACATTATTTTATTATAAAATAATAAATACTAAAAAGTAAACAACACCTTGAATACCAACTAAAATCAAAACTATGCAATTGCAATTTATAGTTAGTCAAAAATTGGAACCTCTTAAAGTACATTTAGAATGCCAATTAGAAAAGCATTGCTCTTAGGATAATATGACTTTCTCAAATTACTTATCAAAGGGTCAAAAGAACATATTAGTTGCCTTGATAAATCTTCATTTTCTTTTTGACCGCAAACATTTTTTGGAAAAAGTTTCACAAAACTTCTTTAAGTTTTCATTTTGTGCTCTTTAGCTTAGGTAATTTTGAGCTTCTTGTGCCTCTTTACTGAAGAGGCACAAGAAAGTTTAAAACTCTCTAAATAATAAAGTGTCAATTAGAAAGCTAAATAACAATTTACACAATTAGAAAGCTAAATAACAATTTACACAAAATAACATGTACATCTTTATCGTACTGACATCAAGTTCAAGAATTAGAGCAAACTTTTCTGCATTCTAAAAAAGTCTTCTAGCAGTGCTTCCATTATTTGATGACCCAGAGCCACCAGATATTGGCATATCAACTACCAATCCAACTTCGTCACGAAACTTTATTTGAATTAGTTGATATATATATAATATATATATATATATATATATATATATATATATATATATATATATATATATATATATATATATATATATATATATATATATATATATATATATATATATATATATATATATTAAACTAAAAATTAAAATGACTTTATATATATATATATAATATATATATATATATATATATTTATATATGTATATATATATATATTATATATATATATACATATATATATATATATATATATATATATATATATATATATATATATATATATATATATATATATAATAATATATATATATAATATATATGTATATATATATAATAATATATATATATTTATATATTTATATATATATATATATATATACATACATGTATATATATACATATATATATATATATATATATATATATATATATATATATATATATATATATATATATATATATATATATATATATATATATATATATATATATATATATATATATATATATATATATATATATATATATATATGTACTTGTTATTTTAAAACATTAAAAAAAAAACTTGGTGAAAAAACATTTTTCATTTTACAGCAAGTATTTAAAAAAATAACAGATAGATAAATACTAGCAGCTAGATAAATAATTTTATAAAAGCATACATGTAGAACCTTGAAAATATGTATAAGAGATAAGGGCAAAATACAGCACAAATTTTTCCTTGTTGTCCTTTTAAAAAAAGAAGGGTAAAAAAAGGACATTTGCTACCAAAACTTATATTCTAAACTAGTTTAAAGATTTTTTTGAATTCTTTTTTTTTATAAATTTTATATAATAATAATTATTTGATCAGTTATTAAAATTATTTAATTATTATATCAAAAATTTATTCTACACTTTTGCTTTGTAAAAAACTACATTTTTTCACTTTATCGCTTTTTTTTTTGTGGAAAAACTTTACTGAATATGATTTTTTTTCCGCGAATATATTCTTTTAATATCTAATTCAAATACTTTTGAGGTCCCTAATATATTTAATTCAAAATTTTATAAAAAAAATTAAGCTTTCAAACATTGATTTTGAAAGTTTTGTCCACCACTGATCACTGCAGTAATTTTGCCTTCCATAATCAATTTGGCAAATATTCTAGATATATCATCTATAGATCTTTTATTTTTGAAGTTTACAATTTTTTTTTGTATATTTCGAACCTCTTTTAACAAACTTTTTCTCCTCTTTTAACAAATTTGTACAAACCTCTTTTAACAAATTTATACAAATTTTTGTATATTTCGAACCTCTTTTATCATAGTATTTGGGTCTTCTTTAAATATTTCAACAAAAAATATAAAATAAGAAAGGCCCACAAGCAAAAAATTCACATTTTTTAGTCAAATTTTTATAGTCCATTCAATTTTTATTAAAAAAAAAACAATAAAACGCTCAAGTTGTTATATGTTACTTTTGTGAAACAAACACAATTATAAAGTGAATAAAAACTTTTAATAGCTTTAACTAGTAGTTTCAAAACCATTTTTTTTTATAAGTTGTTTCAAAACTATTTTTTTATAACTTGTTTCAAGACCATTTTTTTTATAATTTTGTGCTCTTATCGTAATAGCCAGAATTTTTAAAAATAAGGATAACAGATGCCACTTTCCAGCAGGCTTGAAAACAACACACTGATAAGCAGAAAATCACTTTAGATACAGAAGCTGTAGTATTACAAATGTCAAGCAATAGAGCAGCCTGTTTTTTAGCTATATTAGGTATGTGATTAGTGGAATTAAGAGATAAGTTTGATTAAAAGTTCTCAGCAAGCAATTTAGCTTTGTTTTTAGGTGAGGTAACAAAATCTGAACCCTGAGAGATAGGCGGAATAACAGATTTGATTTAATTTTTGAGACAAAGTACAAGATTTCGTGACCTGAGAATAGGTTTTCATGGCCTGATAAAAAAGCCCAAAGCCTATTGTCAGACAAAACCTTTTTACAATGGTTTCTAGCAATATTAAACAAATGTCTGTTTTCTGGAAAATTGTTTTGGCGAGAGATATGGAACTAATGGTTATGATTGAAAATTGAAATATCACAATGAGAAGAAAACCATGGAGAAGAGTGAGGTTTGACTTGGAATCATTGAAAGGAAAATGAAAGATTCCATGCTAGCCTAAACCCAAGAAGTTTCAGAAGAAGCACATTTGTCAGCAGAAAGTCTAAAGGTTTCTACACAAGTGACATTGCGAAGAAAATTACAGAAAGAGTCCCACTCAGCTTTAAGGTACTTGTAAGAGGTACAATGATAGAGGGTGGAGAAGATTTAGATAATAGTTTTAGAGTGATCAAATGGTGATCAAAACAGTGATCAAAGAGACCTATAGGTCCCTTTGATCATCATTTTGATCCTCCTGTGTTTTGATCACCGTTTTGATCCACCGTTTTGATCCTTTTGTGCTACTGGATGATCATAAGGGTACACCCCTGTAATGTACTCAATGAGTCATCTACCCTTCATCTTCTAGGATTAACTCTTACTTCCAATCTTTCTTGCAAACCATATATCAAATTCATTGCAAAATTAGCATCCGCTAAGGTTGCATCTCTTTATTGTGGTTGCTACTTTCTTACTACTGACTCTATTCTCTATCTCTATAAATCTCAAATCCGTCCTTGAATAAAATACTGTTGTGATATCTGGGGTGAATCTTTCAATGATGGCCTTTTGCTTTTAGACAAGATGCTAAAATGCATTGTAAACTTAGTTGTACCTGCTCTTGCAGCCAACATTATCACATTGTCATAATGTTGCTTCTCTTTCTTTTTCTATAAATATTATAATGGGCACTGCTCTAAAGAGCTAGCATCACTTGTGACATTTACTAAAATTCATTCTCGTGTTACTCGTCATTCAATTAAGTCTCATCTTTTTACTGTGACTGTTCCAAAGTGCTCCAGAAATTCTTATTTCTCTAGTTTTTTTTTTGGAACATCAGTTCTTTGGAATTTGCTTCTTTCATCTTTTTCTTTCTCATTCATTGTTTTCCTGATTCATATAATTTGAAATCTTTCAATTCGTCTGACAATTATTATCTTGCTCTATAAACTTTACCTTTTCTTTTCCAGCAACTTCCAACTCTAATAGTGGTTGCTTGCAGCCATGTTAGAAGTGAAGATATTGAAAAAAAATTGTTAATGTGATTCAAAATATGAAAGCATATCTTTAGTGTTGTAACCAAATTTTGAGATCAGAAAAAGTTTAAAAACTTGATTAGTGTTACATTTTAAACGATAGATTGCTTGCCCGAACCAAACCCTCAGTTGATGTAGTGGCACTTCCTTGTAGCAGCAGGCTATAAAATAGTCAATTTAGTAGTATAATGACATTTTTACAAAAATTTTTTAAGTTTTTTTAATTATTAATTATTTTTAATTATTAATTAATTATTATTATACAACTAAATTACATTTATAATAATAGAAGAAAAAGTTTTTAAAATATGATAAAATTTTTTTAATCTTTTTTTTATTCATTTTAATTGTAGGTTTGTTGTGAATATATTTTTGATTATCACACAGTTTGGTTTTTGTGCAATATACTTTGTATTTATTGCAAATACAATTGTGGAAGTATCTGGTTTGGAAAAAAAAGTTGACATGCGCATAATTATTTTAGCATTGGCTCCCGTTGCAATTTTGTTTTCATTTGTTAGGAGTCTAGAAAAGCTATCTTATGTGTCTGTTGTTGCTAACGTATGTTGTATTGGTGGCCTTATAATGATTCTACAATACTTGGGAAGAAATTTTAAAGACCCTCATAAATATCCTGCATTCACAGAATGGAGGGGTCTTCCTCTGTTTGCAAGCATGACAATCTTTTCATTTGAAGGAATCGGAGTTGTAAGATTTTTACTTTTCAGTTTTTTAAATGCTTTTTATGTTTGTTTTTATTAATTACACGGTCATCAAAATTAAACTTTTTTTTCTCATCACAAAAATTTTTTTAGATGTATTTTCTATGCTGAATCCATATCTGGTTAAAGTTTTGTTCTCGCGCGTATATTTTTAAAATGATATACATTTTTGTATATTATGAAAAGGTACATAGTTGTATGAAAATGAATTTTAATAAATCACATTTTAAATAAACCATTTATTTCAAAAAAGTAATATATACATCATATGTTAAATTAATACAGCGTAATGAACTGTAAACAAATAATTTACATAAAAGTGAACTTTTAATATAGTTGTAAAGTGAGAGTATACTCTCTGCATGTTCCTCTTGCGAGTTTTGTATGAAATTTGATGGAAATATTGTATTTTGACAAATGTATTTAGTTTATTTTTACTAGAAATGGCATTCTTTAGATTTTGTGTTAGTGGTAGCGTAAGCGTTCTCCTTGCTTGTCACTCACTGCATCAAGATCTTTGGTAAAGAAATTTAGATTCGAATGCAGGATGTGCATTTTCAAAGACATCTTTATATGTATGGGACTTGTTACTCTCCAGAAATTTTGTGCATATTTATTTGAAAGCCAGCCAAGCTTGCAATTCCAGTGAATTTGCAATTTCAGTGGATTCCAGTCCCATTCAATTTCAATATCCAATAAACACTTCCAAATTTGTGGCCTAATAAAAAAACTCCCTCTTTCAATTTAGCTGTACTAACTTATGAAAATTTCATAGAATGGTATTGGAATCTATTGAATAAACTTTACCATTGCTTTTATAAAATTGTTATTTATAAAATTTGTTCCATTGTACCATGACTATCCTGCATGCAGAAAGCAATAATATTTTATAAATATTTTATTTTTGTAAGCAGTATACCCATATTATCAAATACCTCTATTAGATGGCCATAATGAGCATTAGGGATGGATAGCTTGACATTTCCATCATGCAAAAGTACTGCTTATAGGCTCCTTTGCAAGGAATCAATGTAGAGCTACCAGTCAGATGCTGCATACTCTGAGATAATTCTGTGAATAGCCCATGTATAATATGGTAATAGCAGAGAGGACCAAGGATCTACTGTAAAGTATGTTGACCAAGACTAAGAATCTACTGTAAATGTTGCTATGTTAATATTTGTATCAGTTACTACTGATACAAACATTCTTGTTTAAAAAAAAGTTAATTTTTCTTCTGCAGTGTTCTGTAGTCTGTAGACAAGAAGTTCTGCTTTCTCTGGAAAAATGGATAAATGACCTCTCGGCTTCCTCCTTATTCTGGGTATGACAAACAGTATTGAAGATTTCTTTTTGTTAACCCAGAGAAAGCAACATTTTATTGTATGAATTTTAAAATTTATCATTGAATATAGATTTAGTTAAAAATAGTAAAAAAATATTGTATCAACTTGTTGTTTTCATGTTTGGGTCAGGTGTAGCTGAAGTTTTAGAATTTTTTTGTTCCCAGACTCCAAACATTGCAATTTTTTGCAAAGCATTCTTATTTGACATAAGTATAAACATATAAATGTTTGGAGTTTGCTCCATGTCTGGAGGTAAGCTCAAACTTCAAAAAATGCTACATTTGCGTCTTAGTGTTATTTCACTAAAAATCTGATAGTGGTAAGTACTGAAATTGTTCTTAAATAATATTATATAGTTTTTCTTTAATGTAGTATATATACTATGATTTTTTTTATTATTGGTTTTCTTCTTTAATGATGTATATATACTATGTATCATTAAAGATATATTTTATATATTTCTAAAGTTTCTTTTTATCAAATAATGTGTTAATATTTTAATAAATAACAGTTTTTAAATTTTTGATAAATGTTTATCTTCTTTTGATGAATCATTTATCAGACATATTCAACTAAAATGCCTAAATAAAATCAAATAAAATTAATTATGAAAAAATTAAAATAGGTACTGATTTAAATATATTTCATAAGAACTGCAAGCAGAATTAAAATCTTTTGTATCCCGGTTCAAAAAACATGTAGATCTAGAAAAATGATCATATTTCCTCTAAAAATAATTTAGATAAAATTTACATAAACACAGCAATCACATTAAGTATTATGCTCACAATTTCTATCACAGTTGCATCTGAAACAAGTTCTTTTGCATCTGCTGACACAAGTTCTTTTGCATCTAATGAAACAAGTTCTTTTGAAACTTAAAATAGTTAAGAATTATTCAATTATTTAAAAGACAATGATTTAAATAGAAAGAAAACAAGAAAACTTGTTTTTATTATTATTTTGTTATTCTGTTGAAATAATTTTGCGGTGTTGCTGCAATTCATTTGTTGTTTTGCTCAAATAACTTTGTTGTAATGCTGAAATATTTTTGCTAAGTTGCTGCTATTTTTTTATTATGTTTTTCTTTTTTTTTATGTTGCTGCAATCTTTTTGTTGTGTTGCTGCGATTCTTTTCTTATGTTGCTGATATAGTTTTGTTGTATTGCTGAATAATAAAATGTTATGCAATTTATTATGTTATTTTTTTTATTTTTTGATTCGAAATATAAAAAATATCTATTCGACCTTTTCTTTTTTTCTTCTTTTTTTTTTTTTTTTTTTTTTTTTTTTTTTGACTTTTTTAAATCTTTATCAAAATTTAAGTTTTTAATTTTATAAATGAAAAATTTTTTGTATCAAACATTAGCATTATTTAGCATAAACATTCAGGGTTGGCAAAAATCTAAGTTTTTTAAAAAAACCTGGCCCAGTGGGGTTTTTTGGGTAATTTTGGGTTTTATTGAGTAATTTTGGGTTTTTTTTGGTTTTACTTTTATTTAGTATCTTTAAAAATTGTTTTATTTTTTTTGTTTAATGATATCAAAAATTAGTTTAATATTCTACTTTAACTCTATTTAAAATATATTTTATATATTGTTATTTAATATTTTATATATTGTTATTTAATAAAATAAACTGTAATAGAAAAAAAAAATTCACGTTAAATCTATATGTATTGATTTATTTTAAATTTAAAATTATTATTCTATATAATTAAAAATGTCAATGAGAAAAAAAGAAGGCTAGAGGTTGTAACTGAAGTTTCAAATTTGAACTTCAAATTTGAACTTGAAATTTATATGAAGAAACTTGTTTCTTTGCGCAGCTGCCTTGCATATAAAGGTTCGTGTTTAGGAGTTAAAGAGGTTAGAGAGGGTTGTAACCACAATAAGGTAGCCTCCTTGACTATAGTGGCTTTCTCTAGCCACTAATAAAAATCATTCAAATTCACCTTGGAAGGTGAATAACATAAAAAATCTCAATCTTTAAAAATATTTGAATTGAAATTGTGATAATGATTTAACCTGCTCTTGTTATTGTTGGTTATAATAGGTAATAGTAATAGTTAATAATAATTTAGTTAATAACAATAGTTAATAGTTGTTTTAGTTAATAATATTATTGTTATAATGTTAATGTTGGTTATAATAGTTCATAAACTTATTAAATATCTTTAAAAAAAAACACAATAAAAACCAGATTACCTGCGTTTTATTGGGTTTTTTTTGGTGGGTTTTATTGGGTTTTATCAGGCGGGTTTTTTAATGCCAACCCTGTACATTTCAGAAGGTATAATTGTAAAAAATTTTAAAATTTTACAGTTGATAAAATTTTACTACTCAATTGGTAAATTGAAATGAAAGTTTGTTGTAAATTAAAGTTGGGGGAGATGAAACTAAGAGTAAACAATGGTTAAATATGTAAAATAAGAAGAGAATATTGCAACTTCTATCATGGCAACTTGTAGAGGAAAACAATTTGATAGCTTTTCTTTGCTTTGCATTTTTGATTTTAATCAGCTAAATAATACTAAATATTCTTTTATAATTCATAATCTTAAAATGATTATAATTTGTTATAATATGCCTTACAAAAGAACAGTTCAAGATGGTTTAAGAGCAGAATTAATGAAATGGTTTATTTGTTTTGAGACTTATTAGAAATTACTATTTATTTAATTACTTTCTAAAAGTTACTACTTACCAGAGTTGATATTGAGAGAGGGGTACAACAACAACAATAACAATTATTATCATTGAACTTTATACTTTGATTATAATACAAAAATTAATAATAATAGACAGTTATCAAAAAAGTTAAACAATAAGCAATCAACCATAAACAATTTACGCAATATTATAATAATAATTAATAATTATTACGCAAAGCAATAAATAATTCTGTTGAATTATGATTGTGTTTTCATTAGAGCAATTATTTAGTTTTAGTTTTAAAATGTTTTAGTCTTTTTTTAGATCCTTCCTCTTAAAAATGCATCAAAATATCCAAATGACTTCACTTGGGTTCTAAATTTTGCAATGGCAGTAGTTACTACACTTTTTCTACTTGTTGGCATATTTGGATATATTGCTATTGGTGATGAGATATCTGGAAGTGTTACTTAGAACCTACCAGATAATGTGTAGCTATTTTCTATATATATATATATATATATATGTGTGTGTGTGTGTGTGTGCGTGTGCGTGTGTGTGCGTGTGTATATAAATATATATATAATTAAAAAAATGTTTGAATATTATAAATATTTTATAAATACAATATTTTATTACATAGTTATTAACTAAATATATATTACACAATATATGAAGTTATATAAATGTATAGTATATAAATATTATATATACTTGACTTCAAACATTTCAATTCGTGTATTTTAATTCAATATTAGCATTTTAAAAAAAGGTGTAACTAACACCATGACAAGGGCCGAATGAACCCAACAGTAAGTAGACTAAATTTTATCCCAATATTGTTTTAATAAAATATTGATTTGTTTAAGCTATAATTTAGTCAGATTAAACTGATTTTTTTTATAGATTATATGGTGTGGTAAAGTATGTGTATGCCATGGCCATATTTTTAACGCTTTTTATACAGTTTTATGTTCCAATGCAAATAATACTTCCTTATCTCGTTGCTAAGTTTCATATTAGAAGAGTATGGATATTGGAATATATTTTTAGAGCATCTTTTATGATGTTTACTTGTAAGTTGATATAGTTTTAACTTTTATTATAGCAAAAAAAAATTTTTTTTTTCCATTATATATATATATGTATATATATATATATATGTGTATATATATATATATATATATATATATATATATATATATATATATATATATATATATATATATATATATATATATATATATATATATATATATGAAGAGTGTATTTTCAAAATGCGGTATATCCATTTTTGTGGTATTGAGATAATTGACTTTTTTCGCCACACCAACATGTCTCGTATATTTGGAAAAATTATTGTTTCTTAATGTATATATACATAAAGTATATTATATAATGTTAATAAATAAAATATTATTAAATAAATTTTTTTTTTTTTTTTGTCAAAAAGATTGCATTTATTTTCAAAATACTGTATATCCAATTAAAGCTTGTTAGCAAAATGTGGTATACCCATTTTATAAAGATGTTATGGAAAGTTTTTAAACTTTAAAAGACCTGAATAAGTTTTAATGATTAATTTTAGTTAACATATTGAACAAATATATGTATTTAATGTTTGGTCATTATATTTTATTGATAATGTGAATGTAAACAATGTTTTATTAAAGTAATGTAAACTATTACATTTCACAACTCTTGTACACAATTGTACACAATTGTAACACAACAATTGTAAATTTATATTTGTTTCGGAGAGTTAAATATGGACAATAAACAATAATATTTTTTTAGTGTTGTGTAGTTGTAACAATGATGATCACTATTTTTAAGTCTCCATAGAACTAATGGACAATTAATATAACATAAAAGTCATCATTATATTTTTGAACGAAATAAAATTTTAAAAATAAAATACTGCAATAGCCTCATTTTATTTGCAACAAAGCAATTGTCGGTTTAACAAAAAATAAAAAGGAAGTATTATTATTGAATGCTTTCCATTAAAAAACAGGTAACAAATATATTTAAACTTATTAATTTAAGTTGCCTTTTTAATATATTTTCTATCATTATTCCATAATTCGTTCAGTTAAACAAACAAAGCATGGTAGTTTAAACGAACACTAGAATTAAGAAATGCTTTTCTTTTCTTTTGTTTCATACATCATATCTTTTTTTCTATGTGAAATAAGATATTAGGTAACGCATTAATCTTGTCCATTGCAATCCGCCATTTCTTTAACGCAACTTTAAAATATTTGCGCTTGCGCAGAAGTAATATACATTTGCCACGGATTGGTCAAAATTAAATACTGCATTTTGAAAATAAATATAAAATTTTATACCGCCTTTTGAAAATAAATGATTTTTAGAAGTAAAAAAATATTGGGTTATACTTCGTTTAGCATGTATTAGGATACAATGTCTGCTAGGTTCTTATAAACTAAAAATAAACCACACAATTTCTAAAAAATTTTTAAAATGGCGTTTACCGCATTTTGAAAATAAACTCTTCATATATATATATATATATATATTATTATTATTATTTTTCAATTTTGTTTGAAGAAGATGGTTAATTTGTTTGAACAAAAAAAAGAAATCAGTATGTCTAAAATATTTTGGTGGTATTGAAAACTGTAAACTTAAAAATTGTTTACAGTTTTAAGGTTGATTTACAGAAAAATTAAAAAATAATGAAGATTTGGGGAAACTTACAGCAGAGCTTTCCCATCTAGCAAACTCTTATATTTATAATTATCTTCCTTCTCAGGAAATTCTGAAAAAACTTTCTAGTAATCCAGATATTATTATTTTAAAACCTGTACAGGTCATGTTATATAAAGATCTTTCTATAATTTGGAAGTATATAATAAATAGGGATATATGCACATAGCCATAATAAGTTCCAGTTTGATGAACTAGTTTTCAGCCATTCTGTCTAAAGTAATGTCATTTTTAACAAATCAAAGAAAAATCAGTTTTCAGGTCCAAAAAATCTTTAGTTATTATATAATTTGCAGACTTTTCTGTTTGAGCTAATTTAAGAGCTAATTCATGTAATTATTGCTTCACAAAAAATGAATAAAAATAGGAACAATATACTTTTTAAATTTTCTAAAAGGCTGGAGATACTGTCTATTTTATTATTTCCATTATCGCAAGTATCTAAAAATTTTATTGTCTCCTCAAGTTTTTTACTAACCAACCTTTGTTTGTTTTCTAATGGACTCTTATAACCTTTTTTCGCAAGACATTTTTTGAACATGCAATCCTTTCCGATCATTGATAAAATTTGCATCTTCTTATCTACTTTTTAAAACTTGTGTTTTATCTTTCAAGATGATGAGTTTTTTTGTTTTTCATTAAATAAATCTTCCTCTTTTAGAACCACATTTTTGCTTTTATGGTTTTGTGTTTGTTTAAATTCTTTTTATTCCTTTTTAAAATGCAGTAGTGGTGTAGTCGTAGAGCTCTTGCTTCATAAGCGAGAGGTTCCGAGTTTAATTTTTACCACATCCCTGGTTGTACCATGGTAGTATCAACTTGTTTCTTAATGCAGCAGCCTTGTTTTTCAAAGTTCGTATTTTGGAGTTATAGAGTTGAGAGAGGGTTATAATCACAAGTAGCCTCCTCATCTGTAATGGCCTTTTTGGCCTTGGGGAGGTGAATTACAAGAAGGAAAAAAAAAATTAATCCAATATTCTTGTCTCTAAATGTCATATCAAAAGTAAAAGAATTTATTAAAAATATTGTAACTTAAAACATTTATATATTGATATTTTTATCATAAAAACTATATTATTAAGTCAATTTAAATTAGGGCTGAATTGTTAATTTATAAGCATTTTACTATAATATAGTAAATATCTGATATGTTAGTCAGTAAATTTTTTTACCATGAGACAACCTATTTCAAAACATTAGGACATAAAAAAGTAGACATAAAGCTATATTAGTTGTAAAAATGTTTGGAAAATTAGCACATAGGATAACATTTTCTTAATAAGCAAGTGTTATTGGTTATGTATTATGTGTAATGTGTTATATATAATTTCAATTCTTTTTCCAACATGAAAAACTTCAGATTGAGGTATTTATTTTAACAATAGCTTGTTGGCATTTTTTTTATTTACAAAAAAATTTAAAAAATTTTACGAAATTCTTTTTTGACTCCCCCACTTTCAACAACCCATTGAAACGTTTAGAAACAAAAGAAGACAGAGAAGTCAACCTTATGGTTGTAGCTTATACAGTCGTGGCCGAAAGTTTAGAATCACATGTAAACTTTTCATTTTTTTGTGTTTTTGTCGAACCTTGGTCAGAAATATTAATTCTATTTAGTTGTCTTTGTTCCGGTATTTAGTTAAACCATTTGTGGTAGCTAAGCAGCAGTTTTAATTACATTTTTTGATCATTTTAATGGGAAAAAAGAAGGAATTATCAGAAGTTATTAGAGGTCAAATTCTTATATTAGCTCAACAAAAAAATTCAACTAGAGATATTGCAAAAATTGTAAATGTATCACAATCTTGTGTTAGTAAGACATTAAGTAGAATTCGACAATGTGGAACATTTTCGTCACATGGGAGAAGTGGCAGACCAAAAAAAGTGACTGAAAGGTTGACAAGACGCATCAAGTTTATTGTGGAGAATAATCCCAAGCTGTCATCATATGGGATTCTGGATGATTTGAGTCCTGGAAATGCTGAAGCAAGTCTACCAAGCACAAGAACGATCAGACGTGTGCTTCAGATTGATCTGAAGCGTCCTGCTCGACGACCTGCCAAGAAACCAGCCTTGAGTGACACTCAATGCAAGAGGAGGTTGGACTTCTGCAAAAAGCACAAACATTGGAAGGAGAAGGACTGGAAGAAAGTAATGTTTTCTGATGAAAGCACATTTGAACAATTTGGGACATCATGTAATTATGTTAGAAGACCACAAGGATCCAGGTATGTTCAGAAGTACACTGTGCCTACTGTAAAACATCCACCGTCAATAATGGTGTGGGGTTGCTTCTCAGCTCGATTTCGCGGCCGGTTACATTTTGTACCGAAGGGGCAGAGAGTAAATTCCCAGATTTATCAGGGAATTCTACAGGAAAAGCTGCTCCCAAGCATGGAGTCACATAGAACAACCATATTTCAGCTAGACAATGCTCCATGCCACACTTCCAAGGTGATGCAAGACTTCAAGAAAAACAAGGTATCCGTTCTCGACTGGCCGGGTAACAGCCTCGATCTTAACCCTATAGAGACTTTGTGGACCATACTGAAGCGTAAAGTGAGAAGAAAGGTGCCACAGAATATTGAAGATTTACAGAGGAAGCTAGTGGAAGTTTGGACAAAAGAGATAACACCAGAACTGTGCAAGAAACTTGTTTGGAGCATGCCACGTCGAATTGCGGCTGTATTAAAGAACCTCAGTTATCCTACCAAATATTAAATTTTTGCAACTTTTTATATTGTTAGATTTGTTCAACATTGTAGGTGCTATATACTCTAGTCTAACATGCAGTATTATATGAATTGGTGCTATACTATCTTTATTTGTATGCAATAAATTAGAAAAAACATGGTTTTTGTTGAAAAATGTTGGGCGATTCCAAACTTTTGGCCACGACTGTAATTGTTTAAAGTTTAAAACAACTGATAAAAAATCTTGAATAAAAACCATAAATTAGCCTTTCTTTAAATAAAAAATGTACAATTACAAAAAAAAATTATATTTAAAATACATGAAAAAAAAATTAAAAAGCCCCTCTCCCCCCTCCTCTTCAACCTCTCAAATATACATATGATTGCAAATGGTTAAGATCAACTCTTCCCATCATTTTTACCAAAAAACAAAACATCTAAAAGTAGATAGATCAAGCTACAAAAATAACTCTCATGGTATTTTTGAAATTTTGTTAAGTGACCTTGCTCCTACTCTATGCAAAAACTTGAATTTTTTGCATTTTTAGACTGCTGGGACCAAATTTTCATCTGCACGGGTGGGGGAGTTTTTTTTATTTGGAAAAAAGTGTTGTTATTTTAAGTTAATACAAATAAAAGTTCAAGTGT